AAACAAACATTGTTGGATGCCTTGAGTGCCACACTTGGTGGAAAGGGAAGGACAGAAGTTCAAGAAAGAAATAAAGAAATCTGTCTTTTAATCACCAGAACTCTGGACATCAGGTCTGCCTATGGAAAAGTGAGAGAGATGTAAAGGTAGTCCGCACATTTCTCTGAGGGCAAGTCTACCTCTCTTGGTTGTCATGGTGTAGTCATAGCTTTAGAAATGCAGGTGCTCCTCGTGGCAGCTGCAGTAGCCCAGGCCCCATCCCGTAAAAGTCAAAAAAGACAAGTGATTGAGTGGGTATAAATCTGGGTAGGAGTTTTAGCAGCTTTCTCTCTACCAGAAGCAGGTATCCTGGCAAGCGAATGGCTCTTCACTGCCCATTCAAGACCACACCACCCTTAGCCAGACTGCATTACAACATGGACAGCTCAGTTCCTGGGGAAATCCATTTCTCATCTGGCAGCTCCCTCCCACTGCCCGCAGCTGATATGGGTCTTCTCCCTACTTAATCTCCTTCATACTGGCCGGGCAGTCTGAGCCAAACCCCAGCGATATCTTTTGTTGTTTAGTCCTTAAGTCGTCTCCGACTTTTCGGGACCCCATGGAGCAGAGCACGCCAGGCCCTCCTGTCTTCCACTGCCTCCCGGAGTTGTGTCAAATTCATGTTGGTTGCTTCAATGACACTGTTCAACCATCTCATCCTCTGTAGTCCCCCTTCTCCTCTTGCCCTCACACTTTCCCAACATCAGGGTCTTTTCCAGGGAGTCTTCTCTTCTCAGGAGATGGCCAAAGTATTGGAGCCTCAGCTTCAGGATCTGTCTTTAAGTGAGCACTCAGGGTTGATTTACTTCAGAATGGATAAGTTTGCTCTCCTTGCAGTCCAAGGGACTCTCAAGAGCCTTCTCCAGCACCACAATTCAAAGCATCAAAACCGATATCTAGCCACCTTTTAAAAATATCCCACAATGTTCCTGCCCTAACATTACTTTGGCAGCAATGTTTGTGGGAAATTAAAAGGGTGGCTTCCTTTAGCTGAGGTGATATCCCTGAAAACCGGGGCTGGCCTCCCCAATCCACACACCATCCCCAAGTAAAAATGCCTCTACCTTGCGAGTAGCAAAGCAGGTGGACTCCGTCGACAGCATTCTGCATGATGGGGTACATGGCTCGCCTGAAGCCTTCCACTTGCATCCAGAGGGGTTTCAGGCTCTCTGTGCGATCAAACAGATCAACAACGGTGACGTTGGTTCCCGGATGGGTCTGTAGGGGAGAGATGAGAAGTGTGAGAGAGAAAAACGGAGAGTAGGGAGCTTTCCTGCCTTGCATACAATAGGACCCCCTTATCTGCGGGCTCAGTATCCACTAGTTCACTTACCCATGGGCTGCAAATACAGTGGTGCCTCGCTAGATGATGATAATCCATTCCACTGAAATTGCTGTTTAGCGAAATCATTGTCTAGCGAAAAGCATTTCCCCATTGGAATGCATTGAAACCTGTTTAATGCGTTCCAATGGGGAAGAATCGTTCTTGTCTAGCGAAGATGGGCCATAGGAAAGCCGCTTGGCGACCCGCCAATCAGCTGTTTAAATCGCTGTCTTGCGAAGCTTAGGCCCCGAAAACTCCTGTTTGCGAGCGCGGAGGGAGCTGTCAAAATCGTCATCTAGCGAAAATCAGTTTGCGAAGCAGGGACCAAACATTATCCAGCGAAATTGCCCCATAGGAATCACTGTTTTGTGAATCGCTATAGCGATCACAAAAAGCCACTGTCTAGCGAAACAACTGTCATGCGGGATAACTGTCTAGCGAGGCACCACTGTATTAAAAGACACATCCTAGAAATATATATTTCAAAATATGAAGTTACCAGAAATAGCCAATAGAGAGTGCCAGAGACCATGCTATGTATAGCATTTGGTATTAAAATAGCATTCCCATAACCCATTTTTTTACCATCTATGGGGGGAGAGACTTGGAACCGATCTCCCATGGATACAGGGGTCCTACTACGCAGGTAAAACATTCACAGAAAGAGTTGGCAGTACCGTCCCACCTGAAATATCTGAGTTCAATGTACTGGACTCATGGATCCTGGATGATAAGAGTTCTAGGTCAAAATGCTGAGATAGGTCTTGAATTGTCTAACCTCCATTCAGAATGTTAGACTGGGATTGGAATGAACGTGGGTTCAAACCAAGCTAGGAGGAGGAAGACGTTTAACAGTTCCCAATTCATCTCTTTTGCTTTTTTTTTTAAGTGTGCCTGAGTGGGGCAGTCCTTATTAAGAACTATTTCACTCATTCATTTTATTATTCAACTTAAATACCACCCAATACTGTGAGGCACCCTCTCTAGATGGTCATCTCTTCACTGGGAAGCTGCAGAAGGAAGGCTGGGTCTCCTGGCCAGTATGCCTAGCTGGGCAAGTGAGACATCATCAAGCAACGGCCGCTATTCGATTCTGCTTTCAAAGCTAGCATTGCACTTTTTTTTAAGGACTAGAAACTTGAGGGTTTTTTGAAAACCAAGGCAGATTTTCTCAGGAAGCTGGTTTCTGCACCTCAGTGCCACATTCTGCATTTGTACCCCACAATCAGTGTTTGGACTCATTAGAGTTCTGGGTATCACCATGCAAAGGAGAAACAGTCTGATTACGTGAAGTTACAAGCATATCCTGCCTGGCCTGCAATGAGCTGAAAAGCTGTGTGGATGGGCTCTGCTTTTCTTGACATCGTTCCTACTGCAACCCTGTGAAGGCACGAAATTCAGGCCGACAGAACGTGGCTGCTCATCCCAAGTCACGCAGGAAATCTCATGGCTGAATGGGGATTACAAACACGCCTAGTCCAACACTCTAACCACTACACTATACTGTTTTGTTTTCTTCCAGCTTTTCAAATATTCTTTCTATAAAAAGGAAAGAGATGCAAAACGTCTAGATCTCCATGCCTCCTCCACGATATGGAAAAATACAACTTTCCAGTTTCCCCCCCAGTGAACCTCCGAGCAAATCTCAGCCCATTTATCACGCCACATGGAGGAAAAACTGCACCTGCAACCTGTCAATGTTATGAGTCACACACAGAGCCTGGAGGAGTCAGCGCCTGATCTGACCTAGGCTTAAATGGGGAGAGGTTTTCTCATAGTTCACATGTCTAAAATGAAGACGGAGAAGAGCAGAAACAAGTGTGTGCAGGGAAGGAGGGAGAGCAGATCAACATGAACATGAGGGCCAGCCCTAACATTAGACCGAGTGGGGCAATTACCCCAAGCAGCAGATGTTTCACTGGCCATTCGCTTCTCTCTTGGAAGTCAGAGCGATGTGCACCACGCTGTTTGTCCTGCACCCCCTAAGCCACTGCAGCAAAGGGTGCTCCTCCCTTGTCCATGTTGAAGTAACATGGAACTGCCCACCCAACCTGGATTCTCTATCTGCCTGATGGAGGGTGGGCTTCATCACGCCCTTTCACTCGGGCAAACCAATGTCTTGCACTGACCTCAAACAGAGCCAGCGGGTGATACTACAACAGACAGAGGACCAAAGTAGGTTCAAATCCCAAACCTGCCATCAGGCAACCTTGGGCTAGTCGTTCACTGGAT